AGTTTCTGGACGACGTCTAGCTGGACAATACAAAGAGCAGATGCAGATGTGGATCGCTGCCAATGTTGAGGGAAAATTTTGCATATTGAGGGTGCAAAACATAGCGCGAAAGGATTGACAGCCGGTGCTCCTTGACATGTTAGTGAGCTCACATATAAAGGTAATGTCGTCGGCGAGCTCCAACTCAAGAAGTCGATCACATAGAAGCATATCCACAACGAGTGCAGTGAACGCTTCTATAGCTGCACCGATTACAAACTTAAAGAAAAAAACTGACAGCGGACAAGGTTGTCTTATACACCGTCGGAGATATCGTTAGAGGATGACGATAGATTGTCATGAATCAGCACTTCGCTCGAACTATGCGCTCCGATAACCACGTGTTTCTCCAGCACACAGTCCCAAAGGCCACGTCGGTGCACCGAATCGAAGGCACCTTTGCTGCCGAGAAACACGACTACGGTGAGTCACCAAAAAATGGCAGTGCTCCAACAAGTGAGGTAAGAAGAGGATGTTGTCAATATAATCTGGACTTCGAAGAAATCCGATTTGTTCATCGTGAATCTAATTCGCACACGCGCCAGTCAGTCAATGGATAACGACAGAAGTAAGCGGCATAGAAGCAATTGAGAACAGGCTGATCCATGTATGATTGCTGCATTCCGAACGTGAGTCTCCCTTGAAAATGGGGACCATAACAGATCGGCTCCAATCTGTTGGGACAGTCTTCTTCCCCCATAGTCTCACTCGTATGAAACGATAGACTACACTCGAAAAGAGATACGGCTATCTTATTATTGTGTCAGGTGAAATCAGAGGTCGGAATGGTGAAGGGTGATTTTACTCTTGCATACATTCCGACAAGAGAGGAACGACCAGGCATGAATTAGCTACCGGCAAGTGCTGGTGTCCAATCAACGCTTTGTGGCATATCCCCACATTCCAGCTTACATAGTAGCATTGAAACACCACGACAATGAGCTACTGCAAACAAATTTACTCTCGCATAGACAAAAAAGTGGCAACAGCACTACACCGGCAAATCTTACTGGTGCTTCGCTGCAATGTGACAACCAACGGTTGCATGCTGGCTAAAGTCACTACGAAGTCGCCGCACCTACGCAGATTCAAGCCGGAGACCACTGAATTAAAAGGCAGGCGCCTATCCCTCACGGTCGTTGGCCGACACTTTCGCATTGGCTCTTAACTTAGACCTGGGAACTTCTTAACGACAGATCAAAGTGTTGACCAGGCTCCTAGCTGATGGGGCGCAACTGAGAAACCGATCTTGCGCCCTTTTGCTTCTAGTTATTTTGTTCCTCTCGGATGAATATAACATATCTTCGATTCGTTTGCTACGCATATTAGCCCATTAAGGTTTTATACGTGGCTTTCCTCGGCGGTACGCGGGTAACGGTAATCCGATACGTCATTTTCTGTTGCTCAGGGCATGATTATTTTGTAGGAAGACAAGGTGCGAAGCGAATAATCTATCGAGGCAAACATCACCAACAGAATGCATAAACTCTGAACACCAAACTTACCGGCCCGTAGCCTAAAGATAACAAGCCTGTCTTCCAATCTGACGGCGCGGGTTCGAGCCTACGCAGAGGCAGGGCGACCCGCGGAGTATACCTAGTTCACCTGCGACCAATGGTGGTTGCGCGGCAGCGAAGCGTCGGTACTGCATACCGGCGTACTGCTGATACCTTCCCAATCATCTTCGAACGCTCTCCTAGAGATTGCTTTGTGCGCGTTGCTTCTGCATCTATTCCTAGTACACATAAATAGGAAGCTCCCAAGCACTCCTCTTCTGTTGAGGCGTTATTATTGTCCACTATTATCCCGTTATCGTCCGGTTTACTTGGTACATCTACAATACTGACTCGGCGCAGCAGTACTTACTGTTGCCTCCACACTCCTACTCCTCGAGAGTGTTCGTCCCCGTGGCCTTTACCCTGGGTCGTCGTGAACTTCAGGGCTGCTCACCATTCGAAGGGGATCCTTCTTCTTCCAATTCGTACCACCGCAGTTCAGTAGCATGTACCCGCCGTGAGTCTCCCTACCGATCGATCGTACATACTGAGCCTCGTCGGCTGACCACCTCATACAACCCACTTCCACTTCGGTAGAAGTTTCATTTCCGCTGGGCCACATGTGGGCACATATTCATAATCCATGGATTTCACTTTCGAACAGATTGGAAACTCACTCTCTGGTTTGTCATTGTAGGTTTGATCTTCTCCATCCTCCGAGTCTGAGTTGCTTTGGGGTTACGGTTGGCCGCCCTTCTGCTATCGTGTACTTTTTCGGAGGCATTCAACACTCCAACTGCTAGATGCACGGGTAATCGGGGTGCTCGACCGTACATCAACTGGAAAGGCGATTGCTTTGTGGAGGCCTGTTTGAAAGATCGAAAGGTCAACAAGAGCATTAGCCACTGTTCAATCGTCCCGCTCTGCCAATCCATTTGTTTGTGGATGGTAAGGAGTTGTGCGCACTTCCTTGATACCAAGTTACTCCAAGCAGGTCCGAAATCCCGCACTGTTGAAGCACAGACTCTGATCTGTTAATATAGCCTTTGGGATCCCGTGACGCGCTATCCAATGTTTCATGACGGCATGGGTAATGGTGGTCGCCCGCTGATCCGGAATTCCCACAGCTTCCATCCAGCGCATGAAATGCTCAATCATTAGCAATATGCATTGGTTGCCCAGCCTAGTTAATGGAAACGGTCTCATCGCGTCGATCAACCACAGCTTAAGAAGTACCGATACCGGAATCGACATCATTGGTTGTTGTGCTCCTCGGAGTCGGTTTTCAAAAGCTGACATTGCTTGCACGAAAGCACGTGTATCCCGTCGTCATTCTTCGTGCTCGACCAATAGGCGCGTTGTCTCAGCAGATCGTAGGTCCTGACGTAACCGGTACGTCTCATCTCATAAGAAATCACCAGCTTCCGTCTCAGTTTCTTCGGAAGCACTGGCACCGTCGTTCACACCAGAATTCCCGCTTCATTTAGTTGCAGTTCGCAAACGGTCCAAGCTGCTTGTGTTGGCTCTTGTTTAGGACTGACTGACCGGTTATTCGTGCAGTGATCACTTTGCCCAAGAGTTTGTCACAACGTTGTTCGGCCGTCAACTGTCCCGGATCCTGTTCCAACAATATACCATGAATACCGAAACACACTCGGCAAGTCATCTTCGTACATCATGCGCGACAAAAAATCCGCAGTTTGGTTCTCCTTCCCCTACACATGGTTTATCGTGAACTCGCATTATTGTAGGCGCAGAGCCTATTGCATTAGCTTTCCCCTGGGGTCTTTGGCAGATATAATCCATCCCAAGGCTTGTGCTTAGTTTCGATGTGAAATCACTGACTTAGCAGATATGGTCACCATTTGTCCAACGTCCAGAGTATTGCGAGACATTTCTTCTCTATGGTTATTTGCATTCTGCCGGTGTCAAAACTCTGCTGGCGTACTCAATCGTCCCATAGTTTATTGCAAAACTGCGTTGGCTCCGAGGTCGCTGGCATCAGTGGCCATCGTGAACAACCCTCCAACAACGGGCAATTTCAGTACCAGCTCCTGGCTTCCCAATTTCTGTACAATGCGATCAAACACTTGATGGGTTTCTGCAGTCAAAGTGAATTTCTTATCCTGTTTCAGTACCTTGTACAAAGGTGGGATCAGATTGTTAAATTCCTTGATGAATTTGCCGAAGTACCCAGCACGGCCCAGGAACGCTCTGAGTGCGCTTTGAGGTGGGAACTGGGGTGTAATGTACTGTCAATATTTTGTCAAGCAGTGGCTTCAGCTCACCTTGACACACTTTATGGCCAAACAAGGTGACACAAATCTTTCCAATCCTGGACTTCGGTCCATTTATATGAAGTCCCGATTGCTGAATACGTTCCAATGCTGCTTCGAGATAACCGCCGTGCTCCGCCTCTGATTGCTATACGCTACAATATCATCCCCGTATACAGCCAGTCCTCCAAGCCACCCAATAAGAGAAGCATTAGACGTCGGAAGATAAATGTGGCCCTCGATAATCCAAAAGGCATCATTTTAAATTGGTATTGTTCTTCATCGATGGTAAACGCCATTTTTCTCGGTTTTATCGTTTGATCGCAAATTGCCACATCCAGGATCGTACATATCTTCGAGTGCTGCGATCTATCAAAAAATGTCTGCAACTGATGGCACTGGGACGAAACGACTTGCGATTAGATTCCGCCTTCGAAAATGCAAACAGGACAGGTAGTTCCCATTAGCCATTTTCACCAAAACAACTGCGGGATTGTGTGGGCTGTGCGCTCCTTCAATCCCATCCGTATCTAACATTTCCTGTACGTGCTTCTCTCCCTCAGCTTCCAAACGAATTGATGGCCATGTTCCTGAACCATACGGTGACACATGAGGTACAACAGCACTGTGTACCTTGCACGATGCAGAAGGCATTCAAATACGAGGGTCAGCATGAAAATAATGATGGCATGGTTAAGTGTCGACCAAAAAAGGAGTTAGCACCGCATAAGAGTTTTCGGATGACGGTTGATGTGCTGTATGCAGCAAAGAGAAATAAAATGATCGAGTGCTGTGCGACATGTGCGATGAAGGTCGACAGATAAAGCAAGAGGTGATCTATAAGAGTAAATGAGGTGCAACAGAGTACCTCGAGACGAATAGATCCATTGAGTTGCAAAGACGAGTATACTTCAGACTAATGAAGGTGGTGAGTAAGATGATGCGTAACAAATCGATCAATTTCGGATTGGTAAAATGTATCCGACCGAAAGTTGACTGAAGTGAAGGAAATGTCGTGAGATCAGAGATTAATCTAGGAATAGACTTACGGTCACGTTAAGTACTGTGAGAATAGTAAACGTAGTTACAGGTCATAGTTACGAATCTGCTGAAGGGAACCATTGTAGTTAGGAGGGAAACTCGTAGTCTAGTGCGCTTAATAGCCGTGGAATTTAAGGGAAAAGACGTGACACACACTGTGTACTAAAGGACCGTTATACAACACATAAATCAAGACAACGAAAGGGGACAAGTACACCGGTAACGCAAGAATGTCGTAGCAAACGACGGCACGGTACGCGGATAAGGTGAAGCACACCGGTGTCAATGACAGTTTGAAACAAAGGGTAAACTTGATGATAGCTGTTCACTCGTAAAACAACACCAATCACCGTCAAGTTCACTTTTTGCCTCAACTCAAGTCAGTCACTAGCGTGCAACCTTGTTATATTGAAGCTTCACTTGGTGCCTGGTTTATGCGCCCTGTGACAGCCGGAGCTGGGTTGGAGTAGTGCTGGAACGAGTCACTGGACGGAGCCCCAGTGGTGTGATGGCCTCAAGTAAACTCTTGCGTGGGCGACTGGGGTCCTGAGAAGCAGCTGAGGAAAAAAGAAGCACACCATAGAGAAGAAGAAAGCATGAAAGTAGCTATTAATAAAGCATTAGTTTAGGAAAAACGGCGACCAGGAATAAAATTCAACCTGCGTGTATTGTGGGTAAGGGGACACGTTCTGCGAAGAAGAGAGCAAGAAAGGCGTGGACCGGTACCGCAACAAAAACATATCGAATGACTATAACCATGAAGGACTACAACATGCACAGTAAACGCGCAGTCGGATTAGCGAAGATAGAATGATAATGGAGGAGGTGTTTTCCCACCTCTAGCTGATGTGTATAATGATGATGATGACCCCTGAACAAAAACACAGTGAAGGTTGAGGACTAGAGAGATAATAATGATCTGGTCCTGGTCACTATTAACAACAGCATATCAGTCATTTGAAGTGATGTTTTGCTGCCGTGTAACCACGGTGACCTACGGGAGAGGAGGCCAAGCGCAAAATATTTATGCCCTAAATAAACATTCAGCGTTAAGGCGCCTACATATTGCTAACAAAATACAGTTACAAACGGCTGGCCATCGTGTAAACATAAGACAGCATCGGCGAAACTACTTCTTTGCGACTCGCACTGTCCTGCAACAGTCAGTCATTACCACGCAGATAACTCAAAAGCAAAAACACTTAAAAGCAGTCAGATTAGAAGACGACAGCAGAAGTGATAACGGCACGCAGTTTGGTAGTCAGTGACTTTATTCCTCACTGCCAAGTTAACTTATCAAACTCGAGCCTTGCGTCACCCTACATCTGACAAATGAAACAAGATCCTCTTCCGTAAGCGGTAGCCGGACACACGTACAGGGTGTTTTATTAATCTAGTCCGGAGCTGGGAGCGGCTGCACTCAGGTGCTGACCTACACCGGTACGCTGAATTGCTAACTGTCCAATGGCGCAAATTGCTTTGCCGGCAAGGGTGAGATGGGACACAGAGACGTGAAATGTGTGCCTACGATCGCAGGGCACACCAGGCCGTTCGGCTGTGAGAACTGAACGTCAACCAGACACCACGGCCACAATAAATGTGTCATGCCTCGACCGGAGGGCAAAACCAAGGGAACGCACGCCGTTCGGCTGTGTGCGGTGAAGGTTAGCAAACATCACAGCCTCAATCGACCTGTCATGCATGGATCACAGGGTAAGACCAAGGGAACGCACGCTGTTCGGCTGTGAAAAATGGACGTGAGCCAGACACCACAGCCGTACTGAACGTGTCATGCTTCCATCGATCGGTAATCGGCCTTTACCCAGGTGAAAAAGCAGCAAAATGGTTCCCAGTGAAGTGGTAAGTGGGTCGCTGTGCTAGCAACTGAGAAAAATATCCTGGCCGTATGTGATGACCGGTCGATGGGCGCCGTATTGCTATCGTCACGAAAGCTGTCCTCACCCCATGACTGGCTTCCAACAAACCCGTAAGCCTTTATTAAGCCGCTTTCGTTGCTAAATGGAATCATACTACCGAGAGCACATTGTAAGGTTACAGTGTTGTTCGCTGTACCATTTCGACCGCGTGTGTGTTACAGCTGAAAATTCATCCTTCAGGGGTGTATAAAAACGAATTCTTGACTTGACGTGACAATGCTCTTAGATTACAGTCTGTCCCGATGCACTAGTGGCACCATTAGACAGCACACCAATTTAGTCATGAATACAACTATTGCCCTCAGTCAGACAACTTCTAGTTGTATAAATTGATCAGGCCTTCGATGGTGTTTATCGTGTACAATGGCGATAATACATTTATTCATTTATTTACTTATATTTACATGAAAGGTGTAAAATGTCTCTAAATATCAAGGAATTAGATGTCCGACGTGCCCTCCGTCGGTTTGGCTACAGAGGAGCATTCGCCGGATGGTGTTGGCGAGGATGCTAAAAATGTCAGACATTGGTACTGTTAAACAATAACCTACCGGACACATTCCTGAAAAAGAAAAAAGATCCAATGATTTTTGGACCAAGCGCATGCAACTTACTCAGTGCCTATCTATTGTTATAAGGAACTAGCCTGATTATCACTGCCTAGCACTCGGCTACGCACATCACAGTTGCGGATACGTTGGTGCCATCCGAGACCCGTAATGCTTCCCATGCAACGATAATCAACGACTTGAAAGCGCTTCAGACCGAAGGGGCCAAGTCTCCCTCTCCTAAAGTATAACAACTCTTATTGTGGCTTTGTAAACACGGCCCTTCAAACCGAATAAAAACCCTTTCTGATGTCACAGATATCGCAGATACAAGAAATCACTGCTAACTTTTGCACTGTGTGAACTGACTTCAATCATTATGCGCCCATCGTTGCTGATGCAGCTGCCAAAGCCGGCGAAATGATCAACTACCTCGAGTTCCTCACCATCAAGGGTCAACGGGTCTCCAAATAGTTTGTGACCCTGTAATAATTTGCCCTTTGAAGGTGCGAAGCGCATGCAAAATGATGGGACAAATCTAGAGGGTAATAAGGGTTGATTGGGCCGCCTCAACATGGTTAAAATGTAGGACAATATCGTCCGCATAATCAAGATCAAGTAGCTTTTCACTTGGCAGCACCTCAACGCCTGTATCATGGGATTCCACAAATGAACACTTCATGTAAGAGTCCACGACGAAGCTGAATAAAATGGGGAGATTGGGCAACCCTGACGAACGGCACTTGTTTTCGGGAAGATATCTGATAAGTCATAATAGACCTTGACGTGGCCTGTAGTGTTTGAGTACGGCGCAGGTAAAATGTTCACATATACTGTGTCGACTCTGCCAGAGTCAAGAGTAGTCCAATCCCCCAGTAAGGAAGAACGAGAACAGCGAGTACGCGGCAAACACTGAAACATGAAGCAGAAGTCAGTTAAATTACACTGTACACCTTGCGCTGGTTATTGTTTGATCGCTCATGGGAGTAGATTTCAAATCAACACTAGTCTGTTAATCGATATCTTTCCGGTGTGTTAAAATCTGACCATTGGCGTCAACGGGCTTTGACCTCGAGCGCAGCTTGTTCGGGTCTTTGAGGCAGGTGATCGAGTGACCACGATTCACAGCTTCATTGGCTTGCGTGTGAGAAACCGTGCCCTCCTAGCAACATAATTTATGGGAACACCTTTCCACGCAAGTATCACTTGAACAGAATGGATCGTTCGACTGAGTCGAACACACTCTTGAAGTCGAGGAGCACAGCTATTGTCGGTCCGCGGTATGCATGGCGCTGTTCTAGCACCTGCCGCAGGATCAATGCAGTCCCGTCGGGCATGGAAACCTGCTTGCTCTTCAGTAATCCAGGAATGCCGGTCCACAAGTATTATAAAATAACCGACCACCTCAATAGTTAAGGGGTCATGGAGCAAGGGACCAAATGAATTGCTCTCGAAAGTGCCCTGCCCAACGAGCCACACAACGCTCCTTATTGTGAATCAGGATACCGCGCTGCATCCGATTGTATCACTGACGTCTGGTTTCCTGGAACTAGTGGTGTGGATCAGCTGGACGAGTTTGTGATAATTTCCAAATGCTTCCACTTCCCGCAGCTGCTGATCCACCAGGCTTCCTTGTCAACACACAGGCACCGCTTTAGTTAAATAATGCTGAGCTAGCTGGGAGTTTTCTTCTAGATTCAAACAGGTTCAACGACACCCAGAGACAGCTGCGGTGACGATTAATAATGCCGCAAGCAGAGACGCCAGCCTCGTGCATGGCGGCAGAGACCCTATTCTACTGAAGGTCAGTGTCAATAAGAGGAGAGAGCGAAAGTTTGGTGCAAGGGCATCCTGGTAGGCTTGTCCGACCGGAGGATAGGATAACTTCACAGTTGTCATTCGAGGGAGGCGGCTTGTACGCCTCCCGGTAACGTCCGTGGAAAAGCGACAGCGTATCAAGATATGATCAGAGTCGACGCAGGTATTCCAGAATATAATCACGCCACTGGCAACGTGATCTGTTCGGGTCTGCCGCCGGCCAGCTATAGGGGGACGCAAAGTAGCACATCGGCGCCCAGCGTGTCATAAAGAGGTGCTACAAAAAAACAGCCGGTGCTTAGCACACAGCTGTAACAAACGGTCTCCGTTGTACATGCGGTCGGAGTTAAGTCCATACTTACCACATAGCTGAGTTTTTGAAGAGCCAAGTAGAACCTACTTTTGCATCCATATCCGCTGCAAGTACAGTGATATCTGAACTGGTAACACTGCGAAGCAGCACGTTCATTTCGTGGCAGAAAATGTGTTTGGCAGCATCAGAACTGCAGTCGGTGGGGGCATAAACGGGAACCACCAACAAGCAGCACCTTGTACTACTTCGTGAAATAACCTTAATTGTTGTCGTCACACAAACGGTTGTTCACGATAATCCAATCAACAAGTGATGACAGCCTTGGGGCTGAGAACAATGCCCACCCCAGCACATCAGCGTCTCCGGATGCGTGCGGCGAATAGCGAGAAGACAAACCGCACGCAGTTAGTTCAACAATCCCGTGAGGATCATGGATCCTAGTTTCGAACACATAATATACGTCAATATCCAGAGTGTCCAACGGGCGTGCAAGTGCAGCTTGGTGACCTATCTGTCTTAGAGTGAGAACGTTGAAATCCGCCAGGGAAAGGGGACAGTGTGGACTTTTAAGGGGCTGCCGACGATAGGTGTCCAGTGGGTGGTGCGGGAAGATAGTCGCAGATAGTAGTAGTAGCAGTGGCATTGCGGCTGCTGTCAAGTAAGCTGTAAATTAAAGAAGGTCGGAGTAAGAGAAACAGATGGAAAGAGAAGAAGAGTGACACCAGCAGTAGCATGTCTTCGATTATCAGCTCTGCCGTATGCAGCACAAGGTGACCCCTGAAAAGCTGCGCGACGGCCAATGCAGGTGGTTGAATCCTGAAGAAATAGTCATGGTTGTACGTGGGCTGAGATACTGCCAGGGCGCCCAGACCTAGACAGGAGAATGATTAGGGGAATCAACCAAAGCCTCCTGCTCAAAAGCCAGCTCGCAAAGCAGACGT